CTAGATTATTGCCTAACCAAAGGAAGGAAGACTTTTGAAGATCAGGTCTACTGATTGGTTTTTTTTTTTTTTTTTTTTTTTGACACGTATGCAAACATTAAAAGAATTAATTTAATTTGTTTTAGAAATTATGAGAATTGTTATTTTGAATTATTAATTGGAGTTTCTGGGATTTTTAAGGGTATAAATAATATTTACAGTATTTTGCTAATTAACTTGCAATGCAATTACTCTATATTATATTACTATATATATTAGATAATAAATATATCTCTGAAAGGAAAATTAAAACTTAGTCAAACCATTCTATTAAGGAGATCAAATAAGATCTGAATTTGGTAAAAATGCAATAAACTTCCGTTCATTGATTGGTCGAATGTGTATGTCACAAAATCGCACGTAGTGCATCGAATATTGAAAGTATACGGTGTGATTTCGTCCGTGGGGCTTCCGTCTTCTTCAAAGCACCTTAATCCGTACTCCGATGATGGCACCTGCAACGCCGGGAGGGATTTCCGGCGGGAAAGCTCCGACGATCAAGTCAGTGATCTAAAGAGATAAGTATATGCGTGATATTGAAGTGAATAGTGTATTCGGGTGTGTGTGTGATTAATGATCCCTCTATTTATAGGTGAGGAAACCTTGGCCTCCAAGGTTTCCTTTTTTAGGGTTTGCTCCTCCCTCAAGTCAAGTGTTTTGGGCCTTTATTATTTTGGGCATGTTCTACCTCGTTTTGGTACTGGGCTGCGAGCTATGATATTTCCAAGTCGTCATTGGGGAACCGTGGTTCGACATCTTTCCTCATATTGACGAATTGGGTCTTTTCAGTTCATATATACTTGTTTCGGTCATAATGGCCCATATCACGGTGCTTATTATCATTATTATTATTATTTTTTTTTTGAATATTATTATTATTCCTGAAAAAAAAAAAAAGGAAAATTACACAAACAAATCATATGGGCTATGCATAACCTGAAAGCCCACAACCTTTTTCAACTTTTAGGCTATCCGATTTTGACCATATTATCATATTACTATTACTGGATTGTTGTCAAATAAATCATATGGGCTGACCTGATAGCCCATAAACTTTTTTCTTTTTCTGGGCATGGCCGGCAGCATAAATTTTAAACTAATTGGATCGGTAGCATCCTTTTGTTACTTGGTTAAATAATTATTTTATTGCAAAAATTACACAAGTATAAAGAATTATAATAAATGTAACTTGACTTTGGAAATTTTATCATGTAATAGTGTGATAAAAGATGGAGAGTTAATATTTAATAGAATTAAATTAATAAGGGTAAAACATGAAAATAAATGTTTATATGTTGGGAATCTAAAATGACAGAAAATATGGAACAAAAGTATTTCTATAAAGTGACAGTCATTGTGAAAGGAAGATCAAAAATGGTGAGTTCTATTCTATATTCCAAAGATACAGAGCTAATTCAAACATAAATAATCAAGACTTCTTTTCGAAAGAGAAATAATCAAGAGTAAAAAATGAATGGAGTTGAGACGAGTGCATTATTATGTAGTCTTATTTAAATCTTTATTGATTTTTTTAAATGACAATTTGTTTAGATAAATAATATAGTCGAGTTCGAACATGTTTTGAACCGAGCTTCAGTTTAATGCATGAGTTCGAGCATGTTTTTAACCGAGCTTCAATTTAATGCACAACTTTTTATATATATGTACCGGAAAAAAGTATTTATCACAAAATATCTAGACTAACACGAACGTAGTCACAAATATCGCAAATATGAGACGAATGAGTTGACATGACGGATGAGCTGACTCGACAAAAACTCGGGTTTTTGCTCGGACTCATGCAATTCTAGTAGTCCATATGCTTACTAGCCACAAACTTTTTTTTATTGTAATATTAAAAGAATTATAATAATTAATAAAAAATAATTAAAAAATAACAAAATAAGCGGAAAAGGCGATTTTCACTAGTCATTTACTGCGAGTGATTTAAGTCCCAAAAATTGGCAAGTGGGACTGAAGTCGATCACGAAAATGGTGAATTACATGTTGATGATCCGCCCCGACCTTGACAACCTCACTGATTCTCCCCCTCAAGACGGTTGCAACGATCCCAACTTCACCTACTACTTCAAGGTACCTTTCCATTCACACTGATTTTCGCTTTTTTTTTTTTTTTTTTTTTTTCCCCTAATTTCTTTATACGATGCTTTTGTTGCGTCGAAGCATCGTTTAGGGTTTGTGCTTCAATTCTATTGCGTTTTTGTTTCTAATTTCGCTCGTATAAGCCTTGAATCCTTTTCGTTTCCCTGATTGATGTTTGAGATCGATCTTATCCGCTCAACTGGTTAAAATTGAATTTGATTTTTTTTTTATCTTGAGCAGGAAA